TTCCTATAAACAAAAATTTTATAAAATGAGACTGCAGTAGTTTCCATTTTATGTGGTTACTTCTTGTCACAAATACCTAGTTTCGAGCTTATATTTTTGTATATATTTTTTTTTTGCAGTACCATCAGAAAATTCCGAGAACTCCAAAAATTAGCACTGTTACAAGTTCCAGGGCATTACCGAATGTACCGAATTTTTGCAGTTTGGAAACGCGCAAGAATTTTCTTTTAATATTTTGATCCAACTTCACTAACTTAAAGTTTTTTTTTTACTCTGTAAAAAAAAAAAAAAAAAATTTTCCCACTAGTGAATCTGGGAGCATGATTTTAGTTAAATGTCACAAACTGGTCAAGTGGTCGGCAATAACAACGAATGTCAATAAATGAAACTACCTGCTATTTTTATATCATGGGGTTAGACATATAGCAAAACTGTATTCCATTAGAATTGTTCCTTTCTCTAACTGTTTTTATTTTTGCTATAGCTGCTCGGGTCTGTTCTTAAGTGGGACTGCCATCGCAACAACAACAACGGCGGCCACATAAGCAGCCGCTATAACAGCGGCACAGCGAGGCAAAAATAGTCACCAACAACCGCCACAGCCGCGGGGGCAAAACGCTGGACTACGCAACAACCGCCTCAGTAGCGGCTACAACGCGCGCAAGCAACAACAACCGCCACAGCAGCGGTCAGCACAGGAGCGACAACAACGCCGCCATAGCAGCGGCTATTGCGACGGCGCGCGATAGCAACAACAACGCGCGACTACAGCACCAACAACCGCCACAGCCGCGGGTACAACACGCGCGACGACGGTAATACAACACGCGCTACTATAGCAACAACCACGCCCGACTACAACTACAACAACCGCCACAGCCGCGGGTACAAACGCGCCGACGGAAATACAACACGCGCTACTATAGCAACAACAACGCGCGACTACAGCAGCAACAACCGCCACAGCCGCGGGCGCAATACGCGCGACGAAGGAAATACAACGCGCGCTACTACAGCAACAACAACCGCCTCAGTAGCGGCTACAACGCGGTCAAGCAACAACAACCGCCACAGCAGCGGTCAGCACAGGAGCGACAGCAATGCCGCCATAGCAGCGGCTATTGCGACGACGCGCGATAGCAACAACAA